CCCCTGCTCCTGCTCTCAGTCGTCGTCTCCGCCCCCATAGAGATCTGCCAGCTTCTTGAAGCGAGGACCCCAGTCGTTGAGGTAGTCGTAGTCCTGGTCTCCTGAGCTGCTGGAGTTGAGCGAGCTGACGGAGCCGGCGGTCGAGCCGCTGCCCTCGTAGTCGAACACCAGCAGGGAGTCGTAAGGAGGGGCGGTGGGGTCGTTGTCGGCTGCTCTCAGACCCTACGGAGAGGAATAAAACATGAGGGTCGCTGCATTCAAGAGGTTAGAGTCGGGTAAACGTGAAACTGAACTGAGGCTAATCATGAAAGGTGAAGTCAGGGTGGGGTGTAGTGGATAATGTTTCAAAAACAATATCTCACAATACACTGCCACCTTCTAAAACTGATTTTAAGGATTAAAGATTTGAATCAGACTCTGAGTGCTAACTGCAWATATCTTCAAGATCTGAACAAATAATTCTCCACAAGATGATCTCAGTGTAACGGTGTTAAGTCCTATGCATTCCTTTAATTTGTTTATTTATACTTTTTTTTCTGGCTCACAAACTAAGGTTCCAGAGTTCCTGCAGTAAACAAAGACTTATTTTTATTCACTAACAACATAATGGAGGAACTGATTTTCCACATGGGGAAACAGATTCAGGGTGCGAGACTTTCAAAAACGCGATAAACACGACTTATCTGGTTCACCCAACCGTAAGGTTTTTAATGATCTTTCATAGCCTGAATGCTGATAGAGAGGCAAAGACTTATTAGCTGTCAAGAAACAAACATTTTAACCAGAACATAATTCCACTTTAAAAAAAATATAAGCGACTGCCGGAGGAGCGTCAAGTTATGAGAACAAGTCTTTCTGTTTTCCAGGCACGCTTTAAGAGATGGTTTCGGTCCAAAACCTACATCATTTATGAAGTCTCCTATGTCTCCTGGGTGGGGCAGACTGGGTCTGACAGGGTACTGCGACTCGGCAATCACAGGCCTCTCATCCACCCTGCGCACCCCCGATGGCTTACTGATGATGTGGTCCAGAGACTCTGGCTGCTGCAGCTGACTCAGGTCGTAGTCCTGGAAGAGAACCAGTGAGAGAGAGCTGGTGATGAGGACTGGTGTCATAAAAAGCCTCTTAAAGCTTAAAACGGTCMCACTGGTCTGTATTTTACCATGTCTGTTGGTGTAATTTGAAATTATTTTTGCATGGATCCAACGTGAAGAAAACAAACATTTTGAAGGAAATTCTGTAACTGATTAATTGAATATTAGATGCAGTATTGTATTTTATTCTTTCTGATCATTGCAGCTTTAAGGCCATAACAGAATAAGAGTTGGTGTGTGTGTTACCATGTGTTCTTCCTTTAGTCTAAACAAGAATGTTACGTTCTGATGTCTGACGTAAAAGGTAACACCTCTGGGGTGTAACCAGGAAGAGATGTACATTATAAGCTGAATTCATTATTATAGTAGAAGAAGTTGTCAGGATGTTAGAGTCTCTGC